GCTCTGTGGGGTCTGGATTTAAGTTTCCATGGCTGCCAGGGCAAATGATTTTGAGTGGTAAATTCACCTTCTTAAAAACTGATGCAATTATGGATAGCTTCTTCTAAGTATAATGGAACTAGAATCACTCAAAGACACACTGTTTCATGTGCTCTTACAACAAGGAGATGTAATTTACTATAAATGCATCCACAGAACCATAGAGACACTGGTGCAACTGGAGAATTTCTTGGACCTCGCACTTTTTGTTTCTTTGTGCATAATGTTTATCCTTCAGGTGACTTAGTGTTAACTGTTAGAAAGGGGTACTTGACAGGAAAATAAAAAAAATTATTAATGCTGTTCTCTTTAATCTTCCTCTTCTTGTTCTCCTTTATAATTTCTCTTCTTGCACTGTGTGGCTCTGTTTCTGAGAGCTACCAGTTCTGCCTTCAAATTCTTATTTACGCTTGACTTTATGATGGAGACATTCAGCCTTATGACTAATAAGCTCATTAAGCCTAGTCTGCATCAGCCTAAACTGCTTTGACTTTAAGCCATGGAGATGCCTTTTGTGAGGGGCTCTTCAATCCCACAAACTGTGCCTTTAGAGCCTTAATTTTGTCAATTTTCTGTGTGGTTTCTTTCATTTACTTGAGAGGCAATTATCTGCCTTGTTCCAGGAGACTTTTGGAGCCTTCTGACAGGTGAAAGGAAGTATTTCTTTGTTACAGTTTTGATCCTGGAATTTCAACAGATGATGATAAATGTAATTAAAAGTGATTCAATTAGCCTGCTGTGCTGGCCTCATGGACTCAGAGTAAAGGCCAGTATTAGGTAGGCAGAGGAACAGGCTTAGTGCTTGGGTTTGTTTGGTGGGATTTTTTTTTTTTTAGATTGTTTACTCAGTAGGGAAAATCAGACGTATTCATGTATTCAGAGCTGGCTACTGCTTCATCCTGTTTACAGCTCTTTTATATAAGTAAAGAAGAGTATTTTAGCTGGAGGTGGTTCCACATGGTAACACCAAATGTGTTTCTTAACTGTCCCAAACCTACCAAGAAACTGGTGGGGGACTTGAATTTTTTTTTTTTCCCCCTGCCCTTAGGTGTAGGGAAGTGTTAAAATTTGTATTACCTGTTAATAAACACACCCACTTGCTTATGAGTGGTATTTTTATCAACACACACTTCTTTCCCAGTCTTGACATATTACTAGGCACAAAATATGCAAATAAATGAAATTACTGCTTAATTTTCTAGCTTTTCCATAGGATTCAGATTACTGCATTTGCTTGATAAGAGATTTGTGACACCTCATGCATTATTAATGCTGACTTTTATTCCAGTTAGATTTTTGGATAAATTTAACATTGATGTAGGTCTATTAAAGACTAACTTGTTACATCAAAAGTTCAGGTCTACATCAGAGTTTAGGACACGCCATCATCTTGCAGCGCAGGCAAGCCATCCGTAGGCTTTCACTGGTCTCTCTGGAGAGTTTTTCATGTTGTCATAGCCTAAAATTGTCCAGATTGTCACAAAAACTTCCTTTCCTCTTTTTCAGTCTTTTCAGAAATTTACTCTGTAAAAAAATAATAATCCAAAACAAATGAAAAGAGAATTCAAAAAAGGCTGTGAAAAGTTGAGTTGTAGCCTTGGAAATGTTACAAGTCAGTTGTAGTTGCCTGTCATGCTTTTCTTTCTCTTTTAGTCTCCCATTACTGATTTTCTGTAAAATGCTAATTTCCAGCCCCAAAGGCATTTGGAGACTAACACTTCGAGTAGTTATTAAGCAAAGGACCGTGCACATGAGCAGTGCTACTCACAAATGTTGAATTATCAATATTGTTGTCAACACCATGTATGATTTTCTCTGCGGCCTCAATTGAATAAGTTGTCAGGATTCATATTGTGGAATGATGGTAATCCATAGCTCCTCCTTCTAGATGGATGGAAACGCCTTCAGTTTTAAGCCTTAAAGTGCTTTAGGATCCCTTGGAATGAAGAGGATCATATAAAAGTGTGATGTGTGTTACTAGGTGTTTGCAGGAGTTCAAGGATGGGGGTTGCATTTTGGAAGACTGTCATTATAGGAGCAGATTCTTCTTTGATAAATTATAAAATTGACTGAATGATTCACGGCTCAGTTATAATTATTCCCAGTGCTAATTATGTGTCAGAATTATCCAAAACACTGTACCAGACATGGCTTGCATATGCTGTGTAATCATGAAACTGTGCTTTCTCCAGTGTAAACTTAGTGAGGGCTTTACTCCACAAATCCTTTCTTTTGAGGGCTCCTTTCTCACCCAAGCAAGTCCTAGGATTTCATGGAGACAAATTAATCAGGGTAAGGATGTTCATGACAAGCTTTTAAACTAGTCTTATAGCTTTACCCTGTGCAGAAAAGCTTGAGAACACTTTACAATCCTTCAATACTCACTGAGGCTAAAATATATTTTTGCTGATTTACAGATTTATAATCCATGAAAACTTATCCTGTCTCATGTAAAAATGTTTTAAGACTGCCTTTTTTTTTTCTTCCTTCTTCCAGCTTCTGGAAAAAACCAACAATATATTTGAAGAATCTGATTCTGCAGCTACCAAAAGTCCTTTGCATTTAGCTGTAAGTATGAGATGTGTAAAGCGTTTGATCAGTATCTCCTAGAATAATTCCTTAATCTCTGTCTTTGAAGCAAGTTTAACCATAGACTTGTTTTGAAAAAGGTGGGAAGGGATGTAGGCCTAAATGTAACAAAAACAGGTTCTGGGCTGGAATTGCTAATTAAGTTTTTGGCAGCTGAAGCTCTCGATTCTTACTGATTCTAACACTTCAGTAAGAAGATGACACAGGCACTGAAGTGAAATTAAATGGTAATTCACAACTTTTATTTAAAACTAGTTTATAAATATGGGGCCAGAGCTTAAACTTTGATCATGGAATATCATGGAATATGGATACTCTGATGTTCTTGTGGAGATGTGCAGTGCAAAAAACTGTTTGGTACACAACAGGGTGTGGGAAAGCGTGTTTTTAAACTCCTGCAGTGTTCTGTGAGAGTGCTATGGAAACTGTGATATCACAACAGAACCTAGCACATGTGGCCTCAGAGATCACAATAGCTTCTCTCTCCCAAGAGCTCAAGAGTCATGATCCCTCTTCCCAGTTCCCTCTTCCCAATCACAGAATAGTTGAGGTTGACATGGACCTCTGGAGATCAAGTCCCAGCTCTGTGGTAAAAGCAGAATCAGCTAGACCAGATTTTCTCCAGGCTGTGCTCCATCACATTTTGAATATCTCCAGGCATGGAGAGTCCACAGTTTCAACTCTGATAATAGTAATTACATAATCATGTATAAATAAAAAGGATGTTCTCTGTGAGTCTGACAGTAAGGAGAGGAGGGCAGTCCCTACAAAGTGAATGAAATATTTCCAGTTTCTGGGGCTATCCACTGGGTTTTTGCAGTGCCAGCTGTGTTTGTGTTGTTGGCTCCAGTGCGACTGTAGGTCTGGAAGTGCATGTACTTGTCACTGTGGTTGTTCTACCAAATGATTCAGCTGGCAGGAATACTCCATGAAGCATCAGCTATAAACAGCAGGTCAAGTTTGTGTTTGCATTTGCACAAAAGTCTGGTTTGAGAATTGCCCTCATTTAGTTGGAGACCAGCACGTGTCGAGTTTAGCAGCCAGTTAGGTGATAATCCATGCAAACTCTGACCAGTATCACTCCAATCAATTTAGTTTTTGAAGCAAGTGTTTCCCTGACAGATACTGTAGAATGTGAAAAATTAATTGTTGATTGACCTGTGCTGAATGGGCAAATTATTGCCTGAAACTCCTCATCTTGGGTTGTATTAGAAGGTTAGAACAAATCAAGAACCAAAATTTCTTTCCCTAAACACTAGGAATTTTTTAGTTTCTTGGCAACAGTGTAATTTGGGAAAATCTTTTCAAGCTGAAGAGAGAGTCAGAAGGAACCAAGAAAACTGTGTGATTTTTATTGTGTTTAGGAGACACTGACAGGGAGGGATTTTATTCACAATTTATATGAAAGGTCTTTGAAAGACAGGAGTTGTGTTCTTTAACATGACACATTTCATACTTCTAGGCCTATAATGGTCATCATCAAGCCCTGGAGGTACTTCTGCAATCTCTGGTAGATCTGGATATTAAGGATGAGAAAGGACGCACTGCTTTGGACTTGGCTGCATTTAAAGGACATGCAGAGTGTGTGGAAGCTCTCATCAGCCAGGGTGCTTCTGTCACTGTAAAAGACAATGTCACCAAAAGGACCCCCCTCCATGCCTCAGGTGAGTGTGATCTTATGTTACACTTGTGGTATAAACCCTACCATGTGGAAACAGTTACCTTTACCTACCTACTATCACTGTGCACATTTCTTCTAAAGGGAAGGAGATTTTCACATGTACTGAGGACTGATGCTTGTTTTCTGAGGTCCTACAGTTAAACCATTTATCTTCCATTTCATTGGTCTTTTTTTCTCTGTCCCCGTGGTTCAGTCCTCCCTCACACAGAATCCCATATTTTTCCACACCACTACTGCTCTGCCCTTCCCTGCTTGCCTTTTCTTTTCCATACCTCTATTACCAACTGCACTTTAAGATGTGTGGTGATTCCCTTGTGATGCCTTCTCTTAATGGTTCCTCAGCCAAAAATTCAGGGGAAGAGGGAACACTTGCCTCACGGTTTCTCCTTTGGAAGAAAGGTTGAAAAATACATGTAGGCTCTGATTGGTGATGAAATTATCCTGGTGTTCAAAACTTGCAGCCTTTTGCAGTGGCAACACTGTGGAAATTCACCACCTCCTCTCAGACCTCCTCCTACTCCTGAGCTTGTGAACTTGCACTTGCTGGGAGCCCGCTCCACTCCTCATGTGTGGGGTGTTAATTATGTAACATGCATAATTAACTGGGAAATGTAGACTTTATCATTTATTTGAAGGTTGTTATTGGATATGTACCTGTCAGGTAAATATCTGGAGGTGCCAAAGGGAACGTGTCTCCTCTGCTGTTCCTGGAGGAGCTCCGTACAGGGTAGCAGTGGCCTCTAGTGGGAAGGAAAATTAATACCACATGGATAATTAATTCAGGACCAGACTTAATTGTCTTTCTGTTTATCTTTTAATCTTGCTTAGATTAAAATGCATATATATCCTCTAGTACCAGTTTATTCTCTGTGTGTGATCATAAAAATATAAAGTCAAAAGGACTATTATCAATGTTGTCTGCAGCACTGAAGGAAATGCTTGTGATAGATCTCACTGCATACTAAAAATGCTTTCTGACTTCTTCAGTTTTGCATCAGAACTGAGCACATTTCTCCTCATGATAAATACTGATGGTTTAATTAATTTAAATTAATATTAGTGCTACCACAAGACTGAGCTGTGTTGTTCAAGAGCTTTTCTGTAGTTACTTGAAACATATCTTTTTCTGTTACATCATCACTACAGCAATGATTTGCATTTATTTAAAAATGTGGTTATAGTGACATAAGTTTCTAGTTGTCACAGCTGAACTGTAAGGGCTCTTCAGTACTGAGAAAACTAAATGGTAACAAAGCCATATTTTTGTTAGCAGCTCTGACTTGAAATATGAATTTTTTGAATAAATCTGTGGAGTAGAATGGAGTAAATTTGTTGACTGGAAGGTGTTATTTTACTACACACATTTCTTACTTTCATACAAATTCAGACTGTGGGCTTTTCCCCCGATTTTAATATCTTTTTTAATCACCCCCATCACTGTAGTATTGTAGACTTTTCTGGTCTGTGATACTTTTTGCTTCTCAGATTAAGAAGCATTTCCAGGGATAAAAATAAAATGTTCTTTACATCTACAGTGAAGCAAAATAAGTTAGATATGTATTAAAAACAAACAACCCCGCCCAAATAATGAAGAAAAAAGGAAAAAAAAAATCCTACACCCCGGAGTGAGACACTAAAGAGTACATGTACCTTAAGCAGAAGGGAAAATACTGCAAAAACAGGTTGAATATTTGAACTCTTAGTAAAGGACATTCATCACTCTCATGAATTGGGAAGCTTTCAACTGTGAGTTAAGTGCACTTTGGGTAAATATCCATTAAGACAACACTTAGAACCTTCCACTCAAGAGCTATGCAGAGCTCTGTGGAAATTAGCTCTGGAGTAAAGCTTCTACCCACAACTACTATAAACAGCCCCTTGCAACGTGATGATTTTCATGGTGCCGTTTCATAACGATACACTTTGGTGAGGAGTGTTTTAGCAAAAACTGGTGCCACCTGTCGGGAACTCGGCCTGGAGCTGCTGCAGCATTCAGAATGTTGTATTTGCAGTGCAAGTGTAGGAGGTCATGGCATATTTTCAGAAATCGAACAGAATTCTTGCTGAATTAATCCCTCGAGTGACAGTGCACATTTGCACACACAAAGGGCACTACTTGCACATGCAGTACTGTGCACTGGAAAGAAACAAGAAGGCATGTGTGCCCATCCCCTTAAACTTGTCTACACTCATTCCTTCTAATTACACAGCACAATTGCCGAACACAAAGCTGAGGGGATCTGAAGTGGTGAACTGGATGATGGGATTCTCCGGAATTCCGTTCAGTAAAGGGATTTGTGACTTTAGTAGAGAACTCGCCTAATGAAGTGTTTCTTTTTTCTGTCTGTCCCCTTAGGGAATAGGCTTCCTCTGACCTCATAACATGGAGAATTTCCTTCACCTAAATTATATGTTCCCTGTATAATTTTAATACCACCAGCCTGTCCTCTGTCTAGCCTGGGGAATCCATCGCAAATGTTCCCCTAGTGTTAGTGTTGTAGCTCTGTTGGCAAAACTAACATTCCCTGCAGGCTCTGCAATGCTTAGCAATTGCTAGGTCAGCACCTAGGAGTTTCTGTGAGTATCTATTCTAAAACTCATTTACCAAAATCCTTTTCAGATGTCTTTGTGAACAAGTTAAGATTTCTCTTCCTACTGCTGGAAGAAAGAACAGATCTTTTCTTTTTTTTTTTCCCCCCTAAACCAGTGACTCATCTGCCCTGCAGAACTGTTTACATGTCACGTATATGGCATTACTTAGTGGTAAATAACTAAAAATGTCTTTTAATTTTATGGCTGGAGCAACTAAGACCATTTTTGGATGAATAATTTAAATGTGATGATGTGTGCCCATTTCTCTGCCAGAGTGATGTGACATAGGTGGTGTCCAAGGGTTTTGCCTCAGCCCACGGGGTGTGGGCAGTGTGAATGCATGACTTGGTGTAATAAGAACACCACATATATCTACTGAGCACAGCAATTGTTTTTCAAAGAAGAAAATACTTGTCTCTTCATTCCATGAAAGGCTGAAGCCTTTAAGCCAACTGACACACAGATGGGGTTCAGTGTCAAGCCCTGCAAAATTAGTAACTCAGAGCTGTTTTCCAGCAGCAATGGGTTACATTAAAAAAAAAAAAAAACAAAACAACAACAAAAGCCAACCAAAATAAACTCCATCACCAAAAAACAGAACAAAAATAAAACTCCAAACGTTTTTGGTAAGTATTATTTTTGATAAAATGGAAAAACTCAAAGGGAATTTTAGTCTCTGGTGTTATGTGCTTTCATTAATATGACAATTGTATAGTTGGTCATTCTTTGCAGATGTTTATTCTTTTCATAGCATGAAGTACTTGCTTGTACAGTGCACATAAAATTAAGGAACCTTGCTGACATACTTCCTACTGTGTTCCAAACCTTGTGTGCCTGCTCAGTCTGGGGGATTTTGAAATACTGCCTGGTTTAGTATAAATCTTCTCAGTAGTGAAAATCATGATTTCTGTTTTACTCATTTGGGATTTTTGTATCTTAAGAGAACTAATCCTCCTCTTACTGAGGTCAGGGAAAAAACAGCTCACCATTTCACTGGCACAAGTGAAATGAATTTAAATGAAAATTGGGAGAATACTGATCTCTTATACTGTGGACTTTTCTGTAAGGAAATTTCTTATCCATAAGCATTCCAGTGGAAAAGTATCTGAAATTAAACATACTTGTTTTTCTTTACAGTCATTAATGGCCATACACCTTGTCTACGGTTGTTGCTAGAAGTTGCAGACAACCCTGATGTGACAGATGCCAAAGGACAGTAAGTTTTCTTTTTTTAGCTCTGCAATTCAAATAGCATCTCATATTTCTCACAAAAAAAAAAAGTATTTATTTGAAATACTGTATTTCCTGCACTTCTCCTCATAGAATTTGGCAGAGATTACAAAGTACATATTCAGTTGATTTAAGCCATGTGGAAAGGACTAATCATTAATCTTAGCCTCTGCTTCATAGTTTAAGCATTCTTTTATAGATGTTGAGGGCCAGATTCAATAAAAACTAACAAGCTCCTGAGATGCTTCTGTAGAGTCTTTTTCTTTCTAAAATGTTGCTGTTTCAGGGTTTGCATGATATGTTAGGCTGGTGCAGTAGAACACAGTGTTTATTTGAGGTGACACATTGGAGATGTTCCTACAAAAACTTTACAGCTTGTTAAATGACAGTTGCAAAGAGACAATAAAGTGTATTTTTAAAGTGAAAGTGTGAATGGTTTAAAAAATTCATCTGGGGTGTATGGAACATCTTATGCTGTACATATAATGTCTGCACATATAATTTTAAATGGTATTAGTCTTGCCTAAAAATAGAAGGAAAATAAGTCTCTTTCAGTAAAAAATGGAAGATATGTTAGTCCAAAGTTTGGCTTGAATAGTTTCCTCGTGCCCCTTCATCCCCTTTAAGCAATTGTGCAGTTTTGCAAAAGAAATGCTTTGGGTCATTGTCATCTTGGTTACTAGCAGGGACATTCATTCACAAAACTTGGGTGTTGTAAAACTCATGTGTCACCAGAGATGACAATAATTGTGGGTTATTAAGAGAACAGATTGTCTTGAATGATGTTGCTCTGTAAACTGCTTAAAAATGGGTTTGTTTCTATTTCAGTCGTGGCAGTTGATTGTTAAACATCTTAATAATTTCATACAAAAGATCTTCATTTGGGTGACATATGGATAAGCATGGTGCAAAAAAAAAGGTTTATGGGTAGGAATGGAGAGAAATGTAGGGCTTCCTGATTTCTCTCTCTGTGTAAGTAAGTGGGGGCATTTATAGTATGACATAGTATGTCATTTTATAGCTGTGACTGGTTTGTTGGTTTTTTTTTTTCTAGAACTCCACTAATGCTTGCAGTGGCTTATGGGCACGTTGATGCTGTTTCTTTATTACTTGAAAAAGAAGCATCTGTAGATGCAGCTGATCTCCTGGGATGCACAGCTTTACATCGAGGGGTGACTTAATTTTTATGATTCTTAATTATTTGTTTTACTGTGACTACAACTCACCCATAAATATAGGGATATTTAAATATGGAGAACACTGTAAATGATTGGAAATGTGACCAAGCATAATCAGTGATGTAAAAAGTAGGACAGATCTGCTCTCAGTAGTGCTCTGCTTTTGACTTTATTTCACATTTGCTTTAATTAATTAGGTGAAATAGTGATTAGACCACTTTTTCTTGGCTCTAGACACTTTATCAAAACAATCATTACTCTTATAACTGAGTACTTAAGAATTCTGAAAATAATTTCTTTAAAAGAACTGGCCAGCTGTTACTTTCATTTTTCTTGGAATGGTGTAAGTAGGTAAGCCTTAAGTTTTCTAGAAGCGGTGAAACTTGAGGCAGATCTAATCTTTTCTAGTCTAGCTAGACTAAGATAGATTTCCCTGGCTAAGTCTAGCTTCTTGTCCAATGTGAAGCTGATACAAGAGATGATATTTATATAGAATTTTATGATTATTGCAGTGAGCAGTTCAGCGAGTGAGCTTTTATCTCTGCCTGCTGAATCCCATCCAGACCATTTCATGTTCACAGGCATCAATCATATTTCATATTTCCTGGGCAAGAATCTGTATTATGTCAACCTCTTCACTCACTTCTTTGTTATCAGATTATGACTGGGCACGAAGAATGTGTTCAGATGCTGTTAGAGAAAGAAGTCTCTATTCTGTGTAAAGATGCCCGAGGCAGAACACCCCTGCACTTTGCAGCAGCTCGGGGTCACGCCACTTGGCTGAACGAGTTACTGCAGATCGCACTGGCTGAGGAAGAGTGCAGTCTGAAAGATAATCAAGGTTACACACCACTGCACTGGGCTTGTTACAATGGTAAGCTTCTCCCTGTGGACTACTAAGTTCAAATGCGGCCTCAGTTTTAGGGGAACATGTTAACAAAGCAGCTTAAGCCTTTCAGGAGCTTGACTTGAAGAGGCAAATTATCTCCCAGAGCTCTACGTGCTCTCTGTAGGTAGCATTTGCTGTGTGCACCCTTGAGTTCAGAAGCCAGGGAAATTCCAGTGATACCTCCCAGTGACTTTGCAACTCATTTGTTCCAAGTCACAAGAAGCCAGGGTGAAATTCTGGTGTTACTCGTGTCAATGATGAAGTTGATTTCTGTGGGACCAGGAATGCTCCTTTGAGGTGTCACCTCCTTATTTATTGATGCAAGTGGCCATGTGAATAGGTGGATATTCTGAACTGAACTGATTATTCTAAACAGGATAATCTGAACTTGTTGCTTAATATAAGAATAAAGATTCTCAGAGCCGTCATTTGGATCATTTGCCATACATCTTTGGAGATGTAAGGCAACATACATTAAAAACAGACTATTTCTTTCCTCTTTTTTTCCATAAGTGCTAATATTGGCCTGGATCTATCTTGCTGCTGCCATAAAACAAAAAAATCCCCTGTTTTGTTGCATAACAGCTTATTTACACATTGTATTCAACTTTGAACTTAAAGTGTTAAATTCTAACCCCTATAAACCTAATATGAATTAAGTGAATTACCTGCTTTGTGCAACACTGTGAAATATCTGATCTCTTATAGGTCATGAAAACTGCATAGAGGTACTATTGGAACAAAAACTTTTCCACAAATTCTATGGTAATAGCTTCTCTCCATTGCACTGTGCTGTGTAAGTAGAAATCTCCAGTAACAAATGCAGATGTTGCTTTAGGATATGTCTGCAAAAAGTAGCAGTATGAGAAGAAAGTTAGCTTTTTTGAGATTATTTGCATGAGCAAATAATTTTAAAGCTGACCATGACATTGTCCTTATACTTCTACTTAAAAAGTGATAGAATAAAGACTATATTTTTTGCATAACCCTCAGCTTTTTGGTAAAATGCTGACTTGTAATTACATTAGGTGTATTTCTGTTCCTTTAGAGTTTCTTCTCCTTTGCTTACAATTACAGACTTAGGCCATTTCTTCACATAGGGTGGAACTTAGCTCTTCCACTCTGAGGCCATGGCCTGGGCTATAGTGCCTCGGTCTGTGTAAATATAACCTTTGGAGTTTCCTTTGAAAAATGCAGTGGCTAAAATAAATTTGTCAGAATCAAGATGATTCTATTTTAGCACAGGAACAAAACCTTAATGAAGGACAACCTTTAAAATGACAATCTGTGTCATGCTAGAATGGTGTTCTGTGCAGGCCATATGTTTTGCAACAGATCCTCAGAGGAGTGATTTCCAGTCTGACTTTCTTCATAGTCTTTTTCACTTCTGAGATAATCTCATGTCTTGAGGGTTTGGGACTTCTTATCCAGGTCCTGGCCAAAGGGATCCATCAGCTTTACAGGCAGACTCTGTATTCAAAGCTCTCAAATTACTTACAAACAACAGCAAAGTGTTGGCTATTATGAGTTATGCATGTACTTAAGACACATCCTATTTACAGAAAGCAGTATGTTTTCATGCAGAAAGGGTGCTAATAGAGCAAAACATTATTGCAAATGCATTTTACAAAAAAATGCAAGATTAGTATATAGGATGTGACATGCTTATTAAAACGTGTAAGCCATCAAAGAGTAAGGAATTAAGTGCTCTAAAGACAAATGCAAACATTCCCAAATCCTGCCAATAATTAGAACAACTGTATTCTATTCTCTGTTCTCTTAGAAGAATGAAAGTCTTTCAGAAGTAATGACAGAAGTTACTACTGAGTAGGCTTTCCTTCACATCATTAGGAAGTAGAAAAGTAACTTGTCATGTATCAAACTTTGAAATTATAAAAAGTCAATGTATTAGAGAAATAAAAGCATATTGGAAGCACTGTTTTTACTCCACTTAAAATAAAATCCTTTGTGGCTGAAACATAGTATTTTAAATCAGAATTTCTAGTGATGGCTTTGAAAAAAAATTTTCAATGTTTATTTTAAAAGAGTATGCAGTTCTTAAAACTATTAACGTGTGCAGCTTAAATATGTATGTAAATTTAAAATGAAAACAGCTGTTAATGCAGTGTGGAAGTGTGTTAGCTATATTTTGTGTCCAGTGCTGTTACTAAATACTGTTCCTTTTCATAATGAAATGAGACAACTTAGCAATAATCAGAAAAAGTATTAATTGAATACATCCACCAAATCAAAATACTAAATGTGTGAGTTGGAAGAGATGTGGGCTTCAGTACCTTAAACATTAGAATAAATCTTTCTACATGTAAGTATCTGTGATTGAGTGCTTTCTAGATCCAGGTGTGTTGGACATACAGACTAAGGATTTTAAGATATTAAGGTTTTAGTCCTCGGTTTGTGCTGGGCTTTGAAATTACCTTTATGTGTAGTGAATTAAGGATCAGCTTTGCTTTAGAGACTGAAATCCATAGTGGCAGATGCAGTCTGGTTAAATGGAAAGATGATGAACTGAAAGCATTAAGACAAAGGCATTTTAGGGTAACTTGGAAATAACCAGTAAAAAATATTAATGGAAAGTGAAGTAAATTAATATTGCAAAGTGGAAAAATATGAAGACTTATTACCTTTTTGAATATGTATTTTCTTTGGCAGAATCAATGATCATGAAAACTGTGCATCACTACTCATTGGAGCCATCGATGCCAGCATTGTCAATTGTGAAGATGACAAAGGAAGGTAATAGTTTCTTTTAAAAATTGCATTTCGTGAATCCATTCAGTATTTTTCATAGTTCTTTCTGAACCCCTGGAACTAATCCTTATCTGTTATGGTTGAGCTAAGACGTCATGCTGACTCTTTCAGACAGCAGTTTGCACTGCAGCACAGTTAAATGGTGGCTCACCTGAAGTAAGAATGTGATGAAGTATTCAATGTCTTAGTACACGTGAAAAGAAACACAAATAGCATTTTGTTTGTTTAGAACAGCTATGACTATAGGCTGTTTCCCTGAACCTATTTTCTTTGTTAAATGTTTAAACACATTTCTCTTTGCTAAATGAAGTGATACTATTTACAACATATAGAAAAATATTTCATTAAAAGTTTTCATGTTATGTTTGCATTCTTAGTGCACACAACTGAAAAACATCTATGCAGCAAAATAATACTGACACAGCAAGAGATATGCATTCAGCCAAATCCTTCACTTGTCACATTGATAATCTCCTCATTGTATATATATATTTAAATAAAATGTCTGAAATTCTAAAAACTGTATTCAGTTTTGTTGATTAAAGCAAATTTAATACCCTCAGTAATGGTGATTACTTAATCGGGTAAGACCATCTCACCTTTACTGATAAGCAAAACTGAAGTGACACTAAGCTGGGTTGTGTACCAACTGTCTTTTCAATTCTAGTAGTCACACTTCAGATTCAAAATGCCAAAGGGCGACTGCAAATGATTTCTGGTGTCTCAGTGTTGTAGAAACTGATAGCCTTCAAAGTGGATTGTATTCCTTCTGCCTTTTAGAGTAATGCTGTTACTGTGGCTTGTTCCTGCAGTATCTTTGAATATAACTTAAAATATTTTAGTTTTTTTAAGTAATGGATCTGTTCTTTTCTGATAGTTCTTCCCATCTGAGGCTTATTAAAAATAATCACAGGAATAAGAATGAGGGATTGTACTGCTTTTCATGTTAGGCAGTATGTTCTGTTAAAATAAATACACTGCTAATACGAGATTCTTCACAGTGTCTTATCTCTAAACTGTTATATTCACCTTCCTGCTTCCCAGGACAGAGACTGTAAATATTATTTAACTTACTTAAGATGCTGCTACTATAACTTTCTCCTGGTGATAACTTTAAGTTTCGCGGGGAAAAAAAAAAAATTGCACTTTGTGGTTTTTGGGAAGGTGGGCACACGGGACTCTTGCGATTCTTTAGCAAAAGCTGTGGCCGTGTTCCTTTCCCCCAGAACGCCCCTTCACGCCGCAGCCTTCGCCGACCACGTGGAGTGCCTCCAGCTCCTCCTGAGCCACAGCGCACAAGTGAACGCTGCGGATCACGCAGGGAAAACACCGCTCATGATGGCAGCTCAGAACGGCCACGTAGGGGCTGTGGGTGAGGACATCCCCGCCTCTCTTAGTCCTGAACGGAGAGTGCTGCTGCAGTTCCTATCCCAAATGAGTCATCCTTTTTATCCTGTGAAAACTAAGAGAGGAAAATGAATTAATATGCTTCTGTATGAAGCTACCTTTACACCTGTAAAAAAGTACTTTTTCTTCTCAGCAGCCTTGGTGAACATTTGCAATAACAAATTTGAGTCTTATTTCCTCCCGAGATCACACTGTAAAGAGCACAAGGGGAGTAGTAATTCTATTCTCCAGTTTACTTCCTTGATTTTATAGAGCAGTAAAGCTGCATGTGTGAAAAGGATTGTGTAACCTTTTTCTGTCCTCTATTATAGGAAGTCCTGTTCTTGAAATGGCAGCTATCAGCAGCTGCTTTTCCCAGGCTAGACTATGTGCTATAGGCATACAGATTTGGGACCTATTGTCTTTGAAGTATTCCCTTTTCTCTAGCTTCAACAGCACAGGCTGCACCCTCAAATTCTTTATATCCACTTAGTCCTCTTAGAGCAGGATTCACAGTTGTTCTCAGGAGAAGGTGATTCAGGCAAAACTTGCTCATCTGCAGATAGGGAAGTTCATAAATAAATTAAAATTAATATACGTTTGACAGTTTGGGGCACAGTGAATAAGCTGTTAGCTCTGACTTTGCTTGCTGAGTAACTGCACGAGATTAGTCTGTTCTCATTCACTAATTTCACTCCATGTTATAAAGTTTAATTGATTAGCATGTATGCACACATATATTGAAATAGTAATGTTTTTTCTCTGTTTTGACATGTTCGTCTGCCCATTGGGTTTGTTCATTGATTTCTACTCCATACCTCAGACTTTTTGGTGAACATTGCCAAGGCTGACCTGACATTAAAAGATAAGGAGTCAAATACATCTTTGCACTTGGCTAGCAGTAAAGTAAGTTGAAGACCTCTCAATGCTTTTTGCTCATCACAATCTGTGTGAATGTATATGTGTGTTTATGCTCCCAAGTTTTTTTCTGCAATGGAAATGTGGTGGCCAAACTTGTCATGAGAAAGGGAACTTGTTCCAAGCTTTTTCTCAAGTGTGTTTCGATGTTTGGGAGAAATAGGGATACCTCTTACAGCAACTGAAACATAAGCAAGTGACACTAAGAGAAGTAAAGGAAACCCTTTAAGATTTTACCAGATAATCTCAATGTAAAATAGCTTAACAGGTTCGGTAGCAAAATAAAAATAAAAGTATTTTTTCTTATTCTCCAATTTCTGTGGAAGGAACCCCAAATTTTCCCTTGACAGAGTAGCAGTAAAACCAGAGGCATTGATTAGATTGGTGGTGGTGTCTATTCCTACCCCCTCTTTCTCTTAATTCCAATTGCTACTGCTGTTTCTGCAAGAAAAAATGCCCACAGGATTCCCTCTCCTGGGCCTTTTCTTTTGCTCCTACCCACAGACTGGATTCCAGTTTGATTGTATTATTCCAGTTTCTGGAGACACATGAGCCTTCCTGAATTCTCAAGGTCCTTCAGGCCAAGGTTCCACCTGCCAGGACTGTAGGCTCAGCATCTGCAACTTGCTGTGCTGAAACAAGATCAGAAATAAGGCCTGGATCAGTGTTATTCCCAAAGATTCATCGTTAGAGCTCTATCACAGTGACGGGGTTCTGTAGTAGCTTATTAATAATACAGAAAGGCATTTAAAGACTGAGAAAGCGCATTACTGCTTTCTCAGATGAAACCATTCTATGTCACTAGATAGTTCTGATAAATTATCCACTGACTGCTCTCTCAAGAGAAACAGCAGTACTCTCTGAAAGCTGAGGAAATGAATTCATATTTAATGAATGAAGCGTTGAAAGACAGGTGAATGTGTAATTTTCTGAATGTGCTAAAACATCCCAGGCATGGCGGTTCGAAAATAGTATTTTAAGGCTCCTATAGTTCACCTTCTACGCAATCTTACTGAGCAGCATGTTTTGTATTTCAAACTGAGTTATTAAATTTCACTTTTATTATGTAACATTTTATTATGTAACATTTCTTTTGCCTCACTTTCAAAATCCTCAGTGAATTAACACTATTGGGTTTTTTCCCTGATTACAGGGTCATGAAAAATGTGCCTTGTTAATACTTGACAAGATACAAGAACAGAGCCTTATTAATGCAAAAAATAATGCATTGCAGACGTAAGTATAGCCTAATCCTCTCAAGTTCAGTTGATTTACCAGAAGATTCCAATTTAGCATTTCAAATTCACATCTCATATTTTTTCATAGAGCAGTGAAGTTAATTTCTAATTTTTTTGAATGCATTCTCTTAAAAAAGACCTGAATTGTATTGCATTTTCTCTTTTAATTTTGATTCCATTGATGTCAATTCTATACATGATCTGGTGGAAAAAATTATATGAAGTCATTTATTTGACGACTATATCAAAATGTCTATTAATCACGTGAATGTGTAAGTATACATCTGACATTTTTTAGCTTTTTGAGCTTCACCTTAAATTGAAAAAATTTATTTAGACTTATTTAGACTTAAGGTGGTACATTTAATTTCCAGAGAGTTTTTTAGGTGATACTGTATGTGTAACTCCTGTCCATAGCACACATTATCAGCTGCAGCTGTTTGACCTGCACGGGGGAATCCCACTGTAGGAGATAAAACCGGGAGTTCAGGTGGCAGATGATCTCATGCTTGCAGAAGAATTCATTCCGTCTTAGCCCATTTTACCCTCTTCCAATATGAAAATGTTTTTCCTGTCCTGTTAATGTCCCCAAACAGGAGCACTGGGTGTTGGGCCAGGAAAGGAGAAAACCAGTGGTTACTTTTAATTTCCAGGTGCTCTGCAATAACAGAGATTAGCAATCGAATATTCAAGGATAAAAAGGCAATACAATGATTCTGAACAGTCTGTAGTAGCCAGAATTAGGGATGGGACACAGGCATTTCTTCAGGCTTAGATTCATTTTCCTTTTAAATGTCAATTGTGCGCTGCGAACAGTGCAAAAATATGAACTTTTTAAAGAAAGGCTTTAGATTTTAGCCATCTTTGTGTGCTTGCACATATGTTTTATAGATATGGTATAAGATGATTATTTCAAAGGCTGCAATATAATTTAGTGTCTACAGTATAATTCTAATGATCCCAGGAAGGAAAACATTCAGATGCTGGGTATGCTTTAAGCATTACCTAACTTTGTTTAGAAAATCTGTTTTAAACTGAACTTGAATTTAGTTGTTATGTTTTTGTAGACCTCTCCATATTGCTGCACGAAACGGCTTAAAGATGGTGGTTGAAGAATTGCTGGCCAAAGGGGCATGTGTCCTAGCAGTAGATGAAAATGGTAAGTAAATAATATACTTTGACAGTCTTCAGTAGGACCCAACAGGTAATTTTACAACAGACCGAAGCAATAGACTTAAAAGGTGATGATAGACTTCATTGATGCTTTTATCCTTCCAAGAACAGACAATGAGTTGTGTGAGTACCTATTTAAAAACATAAAAAAGATACTATTTATTTTTCTTTAATATAAAAATGTATTCTAAACATCACAGTGGTCCCTTTTACTGTTCATTTTGCATGTACTGTCAACAGCTAGTCTTTTTTAATGCTTGAGTGCAGTGGTAACTTGAATTTCCTAAACATGCAAGTGGCACCGGATAATTCTGACGCCTTGCAGAAGAATTAAGGATTATGCATTCAATCAGCGCATGTTTTAATGGGTAGGAAGAAAACCATCAACATATGTTTGAGTGTGGCCCAGTTCATTCTGAGATCAAACCTTGTGCTTGCCATTTATCTGACCTAATCCAAGATGCAATTAAATTACTATCGGTCATAAAATACATGCTTAGTTAATGAATTTAATAATTTTGTTTCAGACTTCAATGAAGTCCTTCCCTAAACATTATATAGCCTATAGAGACATGTGAGTCTAAAATTATAATTTTAGAAAATATCTTCCTGAAATAAGTTGTTCTTTCTTACAATACTAACTTAATGTCATTAATGTAACAATTTGGTACCTCCATCTTTCCATATCTGTAAAGTAACAATAATAATACTCACCTATCATTGCAAGACATTTGAAATCTATGGATGAAAAGAACTGAGTGGTGAGTATTTACTATAAACTAAATGCCACCTAGCTATACTTGCATGAATGAGTTCCACTGAAGCCATCTGACCCCAACCTCATTGTAGAGATAGGGAACAGAAAAAGCAACCAGGCTAGGTTCTAATAACAGCTTTTATCCTTAAAAGTGTACATACAGATCCAGCTAATTTGTATGTAGGTAACAAATGAAAATGAAGTTTAAATTTTATACACATTTAGTTTTTCTAATTGTAGTTGTTTCTAGGAACAAGTTTAAAACAGAGCCATTTTACGCAGTTTAAAACAGAAACATTTAAGTACAATCTTTGTGTAAGTACAGCTCTGAAGAATATTAATGCTTGGAACTCAGTGGAGGAAGAAATACATTGACTGCAGTCAGTGCTTAAATGTGCACAGAACAGTACTCATGTTTTCCCACCAAATTCATATATGCTTCAGGCGCTCTTGGATTACTTGAAGCAGCAGGTACCAGTAATGGTCACTGCCTCAGATTACTCGTGCTGCAGCACTTAAGATTTAGCCAGCTGCCAAAGAATTTGTCAGCTCTGACCATAGAGGAGGATTTGTTGGAAAGTGCTGGAGTACTGCACAGTAGCCTGTAAAATGTACAGACAGCAAGCGTAACGAGCACAGTGGCTTCCAAGGTTCGGGTACGTGAAGAACTGCTTTAGGGGCAGCACTTGGACAGGAGCCAAGTTAAACTGCAGTGAAGACAAGCTTCTAATAGCTCCCCAGTCCTTCACTTTACTGACATTGAAATAATATTAGCTTTGTATTTAAAGTGTCATGTATTTTAAATGCCATGCTTGCTGAATACAGCAATTAATTCTTCTAACACAAGGTAAATTTGGGTAACTAAACATCCATGTAGTCATACCTGCTATCCATGTACCCTGTGCACTGGTCTAATTCTTTTATAACTTAATTCCTAAATAAACTACTCTCCGAGTTGAGTAGACACTCAGCTGATCAGTCTTTAAAATCATTTGCTTATTAAATCCAAATATTTTTAAACCAATGTCTTCTATGTTCTAATGGAAGTCGTTGTTCTCAGAATGAGACTCATTCATACGCACAGAAACTGAAGCCAGTTTCTGTCCCTGTTGCTGTACCCCCCGTGTTCTGTATTCACCATACTGTCCGTGCTGTAGAACTGTGTTTAGCAAGTGCTTTTATTCAAATCGTGAAGTCTGTTTGCTGCCTGGTTTTAAAAAAAATAGTGCTTGTTGTGGTCACGGTGATTTAAATGCCCCCCCGAGTGTGTATGTTCCCAGCATGTCTAATGTGAAATGAGTAACACCCTGTTGCCTGGCATGACTGTAACCGGCCATACATCTCCCGCTCCGGTGTCCCTAGAGATGTATCTGAGGAATGCTCGGTGCTGCCCCCGGTACCTCAGTACTAACCATTGCCTTGTCTGCGTTTGTGCCCAGGTCATACGCCAGCCCTGGCTTGTGCTCCTAACAAAGACGTGGCTGACTGCCTGGCACTCATTTTGGCTACCATGATGCCTTTTTCTCCTTCCAGTTCAGTGACGGCTTTCAACTTCGTTTGTTTTAAAAAAGACAATTTGGGCAGGACACATCTCTGCGATGGCTCCAGTATGGGTAGCATTAACTCTTACAATAAGCCCTTGAGTAATAACGTAGGAACAGAGGATGGGTACAATGAAAATGATTCGGATTCTGAAACATTTTGACTCATTGGTATTCAAAAACTTCTTTTCATTATTATTTAATTTCAGCTTTATTTTTTGTCTTTTTAAAAAGCTTAAATCTCACAACTATATTCTTAACTATTATTCTTGACAAGTAGGTATTGAAAGATTTGTACTGTTGATGAGAATCAAGCCTTCAAATAACAAAATTAGAGGGATTTATTGGAACATATTCCCGTTAGTGTTCTGCAGCTTTTCAGTTTCCTGATGTTTTCTTTAGGTCCAAAGTGCCCCTGTGGAAAGTCTCTACCTCTTATTTTAAGTAGAAAAAGAGAAAATGCCTTTTTTTTCTTTTTGACAGCACAAATAAACAGGGAACTGTTTGTGAAGAATTCTTTCATGTTTTAGCTGTACCTTTAGTACACAAACATATTTCCAGCGTAGCCTTCAAAGATTAGAGCATCACCCCCTTCCTACGTTTGTCTGTTTCCTGCTTCCAGGGGCTCTGTTAATTAGATAATTTTTTTTATACAAACCAAAGGTAAACTTGTAATCTTAAAACTGCCTGTATTACTTTTCTACAGGAAATTAAACCTTTTACATTCTGCCTGTATTAAGCACTTAAACATACAGAAGGCACTTTTTACAGTTCTTAGTTGCAGCACACGATTAAAAAAATGTAGTTGTTAACTCTTAAGGCCAAATTCTACTCATCTCACCATATTTTCCCATGGACACCACTTGTGTAAAATGAAAATCACTTGGCCCTTATTTTTTTTTCAATTCAGCACAAACGTGTAT